TTACAAAACCCCTGAAACTAAATGGGAGAATTTTCTTCTCAATGTACCAAAAGAAAACGATTTTGTTTTTTGTTTTCATGCCCATTAAACTCTCAAAAAAAAAAGCATTGACCAATTCTGGAGCTTTGAAACAAATTAGAGTTAAAGTTACATTAGCCAAGTACTTTCCATTATGCCACATACTCAACTTATTTATTTTAAATCTAACCTATAAATTTAAAAGATCAAATTCTACTTCACCTGCACATATGAATGTAACTGAATGCCTCTTAGTTTAATGAGTATAATAAAGATCTGAGTATAATGGAAATCAGAAAAATTGGATACCCTTGCCAAGAAATTGAAAAAGGTCATGATACTAAAGGGATCTCTACCACTCTTTTGAAATTACATGGAAGTCTTCTAAATTTGAAAGAGAGAAAGAAGAAAATTGCATACTTTACACTAAGTACTGTAGACTACATTCTCTGTCTTCAGTGAAAAGCATCCCTGTGCCATTTTCTGACTGAGGATTTCACGGTTACAGACATCACTACAGACAAACAGTTAAACAAGCTCTTCAGCCATCCTGAACTTAACAAACCAGACAGAAAAATGTCTTTGTTTTCATTGAATTTCTTTGCATTTGTGATCTGCAGAAACATCTTTGTGTAGCCAAGCTACTTGCACATTACAGAAAGATGACTGTGGGGGGCTCTTGCTATCACTGTCCCTGGTTGGGAATCTCTACCTTGGGGTGGAGTTGGTGCGCTGAAATTGCCAAAGTGCCACTTCACAGACCAATGCCAAAAATTATTTTGTGGAGCAGTTTGAGCCTCACCACTGGAAGATGCATCCTCAGCTACATCATAAAGCTACTCTTCATGCCCAGACACAGAAGGGCACTGTTGGGGATGCTCAGAGGGAGGAGAATGAAAAAGCTGAGGTGACACACTTGAGGACAGCCTTTTCTTAGAAAACTCTGTGTGCTGCTGCTTCTCTGCCTGGAAAACAACACAGGATTTAAGAGATTATGGGGACATAATATGATTGGTAATGGTGATGAAAGTTTAGAAGAACTCTGGATACCATCTGTATCTTCAGATAAAACACAGAGAACCTAAATTTAATTTTCTGTTTATTCAGAGAACCTGAATTTCATCATCTTCTCTTACTTCAGCTACAATATTTGATGCAGGAGGGTTGGACAGTGGCATCACTGTGCTGCTTCTCAAAGGATGGTGCTATAGCCACATGCCCCATGGAGTGTGCCCAAAGTCTGAAATCACATTGTCATGAGCAGGACACGTTTTGCCTCACTCAGGCCTGGAACCCTCTTTGTTGTATCTGATTTTTCTCTTTATTCTATTTGATTATTGAGAGAGGCTTAGTAAGATCAAGTGTGTTAATAGTTACTAAAATTTTATACAACTTTAATTTTCTCCAACATAAAAGATCCAAACTGCACATAAATTAATCACAGTCTTGTTTTTTTTCCTGGAAACCCTTTTTAAAATCTATTTCCAAGGCTGATTGAATCTTTCCTTAAATAGTTGCAGGAAAAAAAACCCAAACAAACAACCTTACAAAATGCAGGATGACAGTAGAGAGTGCCTTTGGGAGATTTAGGAATATCTGATGAAGACCTAGTGTCTTTGAAAAGTGTGAAGACCTAGGAAGAGCGTTCCTTTGGCAATGAGACTTAGTACAGCATTCCACATAAACTCTCTGAGGTCTGGAAAGCAGGGCTCAAAACACATGAAACAGCTTGAGCAGCTCAAGAGACAGCCACTCTTGCAAGAGGCACATTGCTCAAGATGGCTTGCACACATGCTTTGAGGGACAGCTTTCAATGCAGCTTTGGTATTTCTGGCAACTGTACGTTATGCATTATGTGAGCAATAATTATTACATGATTGAACAAAAGAAAATTCCTTGTAAACAATGAAAGCAATTAATTTGGGCGTGGAACATGAACAAGATTTGTGGGTAAAATATAAATTTTCAAAGCAACTTGAACTCCACCAACAATTTAAATAAGAACTGAGCTCAAAGGGGGATTGGTTTCATTACTTCAGTATGGAAAGTCTAAATCAGTCATTTACTGCCAGCACTGTGTTAGAGGATTCTGAAGAGACAGAAGCCAGGCAGCAAGTACTTGTTACTTATTGGTCTACTGGCATGTACCTTTCCTTGGCAGGCAGACTCTTCCAACAACTGGAATTGAAGAGAAGCTTTTGGGTCCTGAATGTGTTGTGAGAGCAGAGAACTTGCCGTACCTTGGCACTGCCTGCCACTGTGTCCATTGCCTGTCACTGAACTTTATATTTCCACTTTTACTGCCCTCTGAGGAACACCCAGGCTCAGCTGATCCAAAATAATATTTATTTCAGTCAAAATGCATTTACTTCTCTATCACCTCTATTGTGATGAATTTCTACCCCGGTTTGGACTCCATTCTCTTTGTGTTTTCTGTCCTGTGCCTCATGGATACCTCCATAAAATTTTTCCTTTTAATTTGATAATCCCGTCTTTAAAATGTCATCAAATCAACTCTGTCTAAATGTATATGACTCTTTTGTTCTTTCATAAACCTATCTGTTTTTTGCTGATTAAGAGTATCACTCGTTTGTATTTACCTCTATATATCAACAACTCTTCTAGTTTCATTCTTGTTCTTTATTTCCCTTCTACATCCTGTAACAGAGCACTGAACTGTGATACGTTTAAGTGAAAAGAACTTGAACCATGATTTCTGGACTTCATCCAGAAGAATTTTTCTTCTTAGGAAAAAAAAACCACTTAGCTATATATAAACAAAAATATTAGTATTTGATGCATCTCCTTCATCTGCTGTCTCTTTCATGTCAAAGAGTCACTGGGAACAGCAACAGAGGAAAGGGTTAAGAAATAACTGGTAATATTTCTTTTCACCTAAAAATGCTGACTCACTGAAAGCAAAACATCTCAAAAATCTGACTGTGTACAATCTTCTGATAGAACAGATGTAAGTTTCAAAACTTCTTTCCTAGTTCTAGGTTATGTGGACTACTAATACTTGAGATAGTTTCTGTCATTCCACAGAAGGAATAATGATGACAGTTCCCAAGATTTTTCTGCACAGAACGTTAACAGTAATTTGTTAATTGGTTTCCCAGGCTACTCAGCTTCAACAGCCTAATGAATCATTTGCTCAAAGAATTAAACACTGGGGTTTGGTGTCTGGCAACTCTTGTGTACTCAGCTGCTGGAGCAGTCCAGCTGGGGGACAGCCTGCCTGGTGGCTCCTCTGCACAGGGACTGCTCTGGGGTTTATTGCTGAAGAACCTGATGAGCCTTGGCATGTGTTATTTCCACTCACGAGAACGACTGCTCTCTTAGCGGGATGCCAGTCATCACAAAGGGCAAGAAAGAACTTCTAAAAAGAGAAGACAGGAAGGATTTTCCAAAGCCTTGCAGTAATGATGAAACATCAGAATCTTGTGAATGATTAAAGAAATGGTTTTGAGACTGTTATTTTGGAAAGACTGATAGCTCTTAGGAAATTGTGAAAAGCACATCCAGACGGCCTGTGTCAGCCAAGAGCATGATGAGGAATCTCGGACACTGGTCTCAGGAACCAGAGGGGTTGCACCGTGCAATTCTCCATGTGTAGGAGTTCTGATCTGAGAGCTCGCCTGGGAATCTCAGAGCTAATGGCATAACCAGTCTCCTCTGCAAACCAGCTGTGTCAGGAGTAGGTGCAATCTGGCCTTTCAGTTCACCTGTCACATACAGATCAAAGTCAATCCTGTCACATACAGATCAAAGTCAATCCAAGGGCGTACTCTTTTCTGCTACAGTGAGAATACTTTCACTACCTGACAATCCCACAAGTTTTTCTTTCTTCGGTAATGTTTCCCTCTGCTCTCAGCATGCAGGTTATGATACTGTTTATTAGTTTGTGGTAGTCTTTATTTTTTATTATATCAAAGATGTTATAATCAGGTATTTCTTCTTAATATGTGAAAATATTTTTTGCATATGCATTAAAAAATTAACATTCTCTAGCTTTTCTCATAGAAGTGTCCTTGATTTACTTGTAGCTAGCTATTTTGGCGGGCTGTTTAGGAGACTTTTACACTGCCTCCTCATCCCTTTTAATACATAATGCTTACATTACATCACATATTATGTCAATGGAAAGGCAACTCTAATATATTCCTATTCTCAGCTAAAAGCCAATATATAAACGCTTCTTTTTCTCCAGCATAAGGCATGTGCTAACATGTCACTTAATGGTACTTTCTATGTCTTGTGAGGCAAAGCCCAGATCCATGCCTGGTGTAAACTACCCGCCAATAACATGGAGTTGCCTTAAACTCTTAGTTCTCTACTGAGACCTCGAAAAAAAAACAGTTGTGGGGGAAGAAAGATTTAGTAATACAGCTGTTGCTCTGCACAGTGGTAAGACTGACCCTGCCAGGGATCACTTCACACACCCCTCAATGTTTTTCGTACGTGCCTGGCTTGAGTGGACTGTGTTTGATGATCTTCCCCGGCAAAAGGCACCCCAGTGCGGGCACCGATGCGCTGCCGGGACGGGCAGACAGGCTCCCCGTGCGTGTATCGTGGGAACAGGGGTTCCTCCGGCACCTGGGAGCGGGCAGCGAGGGGTAAGAGGCATCCAGTGCCCGGCAGCAGCCCGGGGGTGGCGGTGGCACCTGCGGGGAGCAGCGATGGCTCAGGGCAGCGACTCGCACCTCTTATGGGGGGAGCGGCGGCGGCAGCGAGCAGGAGGAGGAGAAAAGGAAGGCGAGGAGAGGGGCTGGGGAGACACGGGCGGGCGGGCAGGAGCCGGGGGCTAGAGGAGGAGCTCCGCGCAGAGCGGCGGCGGCACGGCCGCGGTCGGGCCGGGAGCTGAGGAGCCGCAGCGGGGCAGGTGCGGAGCCGCCACCGCCGCTGCCCGCGGGGCGGGGGAGCCGGCAGGGGCCCCGGGGAGCCGGCAGCGGCCCCGGGCCCTATGGTGCCGGGCGGGACCCGGACCCCGCTCCCCGCCTTCGAACGGGGCCCGCGGAGCGCCGCGGGGCAGCGCAGCCCGGCGGGCCCGGCACTCGGCGGGCATGAGCGCCCTGCCGCTCCTGCTGCTCTCGCTCTGCTGGAGCCTGGGGCGGGTAAGTGTCCGGCGCACGGCCCGCCCAAGGGAACACTCACTCCGCTCCCGACCGCGGGCGGGGATGACCCCACGGCTCTTTCCCGAGGAGCCTGTGCGGAGCCCTCCGGGCTGTTCCCGCAGCTCCGCGGGCGGGGGCTCGGCGGCAGGCGCGGCAGGTGCGGAGGCTCCGGCCCCGCACACGCTCCGGGACGGCGCTGCCTCCCCACGCTGGCCTCCGGCCGGCCCCGGGCGGGGAACGCGAGGGGAGCGGTCCCGGCCGGGACCCCCGGGCGCTCCCCTGCGCTCCCTGCCGCATCCCCGGGCTCTCCGCAGCGCCGGGACCGCTCCGCACGGCTCCGCTCCGCCGGACACGGTCCCGTCCCCGCGGAGCGCAGCCGCTCGATCCCCGCAGTTTTCTCCGTAGCCGGTGGACACCGCTGGTTTGCGAAGAGTTTTCACGGAGCGCAGCCCGGGAGCGGTCCAGAGGCCACTGGCCGTCATCGTGGGGGGAAAAGCCTCACATGCACAACTGCTCTGTAATATGTACAGTGGGATTGCGATGTACGAAGTATTCAGAATATTGAAGTCTTCTTTAGGGCGCCTGCTTTCATCATCTTTATATTTTCAAACGTTTCTTAAGTAGTTTGTAAAAGTTAGTTGCATTGATGGAAATATGATGCACACAAAAAAGAAATTTTAAAGCCTTTAATTTTTTTTTTTACTGTGTTAACACCAAAAGTCGGGAAACCATACTGAAGGTGAGTGTAAGCTGCCTGTCAGAGAAAATGTTTATCCGTCAAACTGCTGGTCTAGATGCTTTAGAAATTGTTAAGCTGCTTACAATGCAGAGGGACTCCCAAGCTGTATTTCCAGCGCAGATTGCACCTTTACATGTGGTTCTGTATTCATTGGTGACAAACGATAATCTACCCTTGGTTAAGCAGAGGGAAAGATGGATGAGCACAAGTCCTAAAAAGTGGTGAGCGCCCTCAAAATCTTGATGTGTTTTGGGAGGTGGTCAGAGCCACCTAGTCTGGAACCCTACATCTCTTTAGCTTTGTGAAGTCCATCTGAATGAACTGGATGTATTAGAATGAAGTATAGTACAGTTTAGCATGTAGCCCAGCTGTGAAAAGTAACATGCTGCCTCTGGGTAGTAACAAGTGTATGTTTTCAAATTAACCTTACTATTAATCACTGATATTTTGGAGGTACCAGAAAGAGAAGCTGTTTATTCAGCAGGTTTCTTAATTACGGTAGCTAGTTTGACTTAACCTTCCTTTAATTAACATTTTTATTTACTGAACCTTCCTTTCCAAGACCCAGTAATTGTAATACTTCTTGATGAGTAGGAAATCTGCATTCAGTTACTGAATGTTTGCACTTGGAAATTAAAAACAGTCAAAAATACGTTTGTGAAAGGAAAGTGCTATTAAAAAACATTATGTATGCATGGGACTTTATTTGACATTGCTGCTATCTGCAAAAAAAGATTATACATTCCAAGATTTTCAGTATTTTCAGTATAATGCTGAACTTTAAATTATAAGTTCTAGAAATCCTAATTTATGTTAAATATGCGTCTTTGAAAGGAAAAGAATTCTGCACTCAGAACATATAATTTCAATACTCAGCACAGAGAAAAGACATGGAAAAGGAAGTCAGGTTCTGATGTTGTAGATGGTGAAATAAGACATTTGGAGAAGAGACAGATTTTTTTGAGTTTTCATAACAGCCCCTGCTGTTATGCTTATGGCTCTTGCACTGTATTTTTAAAAGCTGTGCAAGTGGTTTGTCCACAAAGACACTGCTGCATCACCAGGTTCTCAGTCCTAACTCTGGATCTCAGGTTCTGGGCCCAGAATCACAACTTAATAATTATAATTTTTTAAAAATTGCTGTGTCATGCATCAGAGATCATTACCAGATTCTGTTATTGAATGTCTCCTAAAAGATGTGAAAGAAAAGACAGAAATTTGGAGAGCAACCACCTTTTTCTTGGTAATTACAATGAGAGGTGTGAGGATGACTGAAGTACTGCATATTCCCATTTTATTTATTTAAGATATTATTTCATTTGAGCTAATCAGACTGTCCCATCAGCTCCACTGACATTTCTAACTTTTTTATTTGCCACCTCCTTGCAGTAATTTCTCCCATTCAGTCTCTTATGGACTCCATGTGTTTCTCTGTGAGGCTCTGACTGCCTCCCTGAATTCAGCTGACCCCAGTACAACTTTCCAGGGTCTCACTTCTCTCCCCAGTACTGCTGAATTCCTGCCCCTTCCCATGGACATACATGAACGTTTCTGAAAACCAAAGAACTGAGGCCAGTGCTTTGAACCAATTAAGGCATTAGTGCTTTAATTTTTAAGTAGTGGGTTTTTCTTCCTGTGTAGCATTTGCTTGAATCAAATACTCATGCTCTGGGGCCTTCAGGAGGTAAAATATACATGGTGGGAAAGGGAAGAAAAGCAGAATTTACCATGTCAAAGAGAATGAAGTTTGATCAATTTTCATGTTCAGTGATTTGTATTAAACTTTCAGCTCCCTAACTTACTAAAAGAGGGGAAAAAAGCAAATGTATCTACTCTCCTATTTCAGTTTCAGCTCAGAGTTTTTCTGGAGAAAAAGATCTGGTGGCATAATATTGAGGAATGCAGTAGAAAGCTAAATGAATGCTACAGGAAGAAGCCAGTAGATTGTTTCAACATTTTGTTCTAAAAAGTCAATGCTTTAGTTGGAAGCTAAAATGGGCGTTGAGTGAAAAATGCCTTGCACGTGCTTGGGTGAAACCTGTGCCAATTGAAGTTGTGACTTTCATTATTGGTAGTTACATTCTTCATGAAGCATTTTAATTCAAGACATAACCTGTTTGTTAATTTGACACAGGTGAATGGTGTCCATCCAGAATGCAGATTTCAGCTGGAGATTCACAAGGAGGAAACCAGGTGCATGGAGCTTCTAAAGAATGCAAAGCCAGTGGACTACAAAGGTACAAAAACTGTAATGTAGAGATGACTGGAGTAGTGGAGATTTTCTCTCTTTACCTTCTTTACTGTTTTTATTACTGTTTCCTAGTTGTCTGAACTGTGCTTGGGATTTTACTGGTTTTGGAATTTATGCAATTTTGCATTAAAGGTACTGCTGCAGCAAGCTTGTGGTGAGAGGTGTGCAGATGCTAAGGATGCCCTGGCTGGGACACCAGCTGGGAGCAAACACATTCTCATGTGCTGAGATGTTGTAGTATTTTCTGACTGGCAGAGCATCTGTAGGCTGGTGATGACAGGTCCAGCAGAAGGAGCAAATTTGAGGGAAAGCTGAAAGCCTTGGCTCCAAGCACTTGTCCCTGGCTATGGGTGAGAGTAAAGTACTAGTGGCAGGGAGGATTTCTGGGTTTCCCAGGCGGACAATGTTTCAGACTGAGGATCAGATTCACACCCAGAGGACCATGGAGTTGTGCAAAGGGAAAACCAGATAGTCGTGTTATACCCAAAACCCCAACCCTCTGTGTTACTTTATTGTTTCCATTTTCCTTCTGCATAGAAAGATAAACATAGCTAGTCATACAGCAAACTGTAATTTAATGGAAGGAAGAAGAATAGTAGATGTAGGGGTTCTTGTTCGGTTTTTGGGCTTGGAGTTAGTTTGGTTTGGGTTTTTTTTTTTGTTTGTTTGGGTTTTTTTTTTGGGGGTTTTTTTTGGATTTTATTTGGGTTTTGTTTTGGGATTTTTTAGATTTTATTAGGTTTCCTTCCTACATTTTCATGTGAAGAGAAAAAAAGTTTATGGAAAAATGACGTTTTTCTTGTAAGCTGAAACTGCTGGTAAAAGCCATTTGTTCACCAAGTGGAACAAAAAGGTGACAGATAAATTCAGATTGTCAATATGTGGTTTATTTGGTCTTCTTGTGTTCATTTTATTTTAAATGCACTCTGAAGATGATTATGGGACCTCAGAGACCTGCCATCTGCAGTGCTCTTTGAACATAAACATGAGTCTCAACTTACGATGCTTTTTCCACCTCTCCTCAGTTTAAGTGTGCAGCTCTCTCAGTGCATATTCTAATACTAATTTGTATAAAATAAAAAATTCAAAGGATCATCAACAGTTTGTATTTTATTATAATTTCTCCATTTTATTTATCAAGATCAGTAATTAAAAATTGCAAAATCTTACTGGAATAATTAATCTAGATTTATGGTTTTTATTTATATATGAGTGGCGAAGAGAGATGACTGTTACATAAAAAATATTAGTGGGAAGCCAGATGGAGAAATAATTAGTAGCCCAGCTTAATGAATTAAATCATGAACCAATAAATTCACTGTTAGCTGTTACATGGCTTTGAAAGTCAAGCTTTCCTCAAGATACACTTTTGTGATCCAGATGCTGGACTGCTCTAAGGGTACCTTTGTCAAGCACACCAGTTTTATTTTGGGTTCCCTAGGGGAAGAAAGAAGTTTGCTGTCAATATTTTCTTCCAAGACTCTTTTCACTGGAAGAGGGGTGTCTCCAAAGGCAAACTGCTGTGAAAGAAAACTCATGTCTTGAGTATGTCTGATGGTTGATTCAACCCTGCAGACAGTGGCAAAACAGCAGTGAACGGATTTAGACATTTTATTGAATGCTCATCTGAAACTGAAGGAATATTCTGTTTCGTTGGAGACTGGAGTAAATCCCCGTGGGGTTTTAGTAAATTATATGTTTATTAAACTATATGTTTAATATTACAAAAGATAATATTGTTCCATGCTTCCTGTTACAGATACCTTCACCAAGAACCTCCAGAGAGTAGCCTATTTTAAATATATGCATTTGCATTTACAAAAATAGACATTCTCTGCATGTCCTTAGTTTCCTAGTAAGCTCTCTGTAATCATACAAAGAAGGACTATTTTGTACAGTAATACTCTGACTGCTGATAAAGAAGAATTACTCATGAAAATTGGCAAGCTGGAACTAGTCCAAGTTGTAGCTCTACATGTAACTTGTAATACATTTGAAACATAATTCTTTGCAATAAATTCATAAATGCTATTCCACTTTTTCCTGAATGGGAAAGATGATTATACAGTCCTTGTCATACTTCTCTAGCTTTAGTATGTGCTACCTGACTTACAAAAGCTTTTCATGAAATCTTGTGAAGGTACTGTCTTGAACTTGGAAATAAGAGTTCCCTGAGATTTTCCACAGAACATTTGGACCTCCATTATCAAAAACAGTGGGAAAATTATCGTTAATTTATTTGGCACCTGGGAAACCTTTGCACCTCTACGTCACATGCTCCAGAATTTGGCTGGCATGCACAGCTTCTGAATTTTGGAGGACCCAAATTATATGGGACAAGTAGTTTCTTTCTTTGAACTAGATGGCAATTATGTATTGAATATCTTATCTAATCTTCTCAGTTCCCAGTTAGGGAGATAAAAAGGAAACATTTAAAGGCTGTTGGGGTTTCTCTGACATGATAAAATGATCTTACACGTGAGCTGTCTCAAAAGACAGGCAGAAGAATTTTGCTGACTGATTTTTGCATTGCACCTAAAATCACTGACTATGAAGTCTATGAAGCACTTCTTCACTTCATTGCTTAAAGCAGTAAGGTGTTTTGCAAGGAAACACTGTATAAAGACAGGGTAAGTATCCTTTGAATAATGCTAAGGATATGCTAAAATCAAAGGACCCAGTTGGTCTAAATTCCGTTCATTTGCCAATATCAAACTGTGAGACACCCAAACCTCTTACTTTGCACTCTTTGGGGGATTTTCAGGCATTAGCACATACTTTTCCATTAGTGGACAGCATTACACTCCATTTAGGGAAGAAGTCACTCTCCAAAGACCTGTGACAGTGCTTTCCTCTCTGTAGTGCTCTTTAGAACATCTAGTGATTTATTTTTTGAAGACTGCATTAGCTTCTACCCACATTTGTTGTCTTCTTTCCTCCTATAATTTGGCCCCTGAGGTATGGATGCACCTTAGCTGGAAGCCTAGGAGAGGCACATTTATTTATTTTTGAAGGGCAGATGAATTGCATTCTAACCAGCTCATAATAACTACAGATTTTGAGGTTCTATATGGAAAATAAATAATTTGTGTTTCATCTACTGATGGCTTGTCTTACCAAAAAAAAAAAAAAAAAAGAAAAAAAAGGAAGCTCCCAAGAAAAGTGATTGAAAATATATAAAAATTGTCTTTCTGCAAATTTCTGTCTTTATTCAGTATTTAGAATTTTTCCTTACAGAGTAACTGGCTTATTTCTCTTTACCTTCAAGTGAAAAATAAAATCTTGTGGTCAAAAATGTTAAAATTCTGGAGATTTTTTTAATGGGTTCTACAACTGAAAATTCTAAAAAAATATTTCCTTATGAAAAGAATGAAGTTTAGGGATTTTGATTCATCTTGGACTAAATGGCTGCACAGTTAAATGCGTCTTTTTGGATTTTGATTTCCAAAATAGGTTTTTGTGTGACCCATATGTCAGACGACATTTTTAATCTTAGATATGGAATTTTAACTTTGAGAAAGGGATGTAGAAGAAAAGAAAAATGGCTTTGGAAAGAATTTCATGAACCTCTCAAAGAGAAGCTTCATAATGCAGCTTGTAATAGGAAATTAAGAGACAAGACACCAAAATTATGCTCTTAGTTATTGGTAAGTTTAAAGTAAGAGGGACCAACTTTGTTGTGTGGATTGCTGTGCAATCCAATCTCCTGAGCTGCATTGTCAATAGAATTTTCCTCAGTGATTCCACCACTGAGCTCATGATCTTGTGGATGAAATAGAGCTGTTCACAACAGTGGGATGAACATTTGAATGTTGAACCTGTGGCAAGTTGTCCAGAAGTTAAATTTATCTGACTACCTTACCTGTTAAGGTCGTTTTTCCAGGAAGAAAGGTGCCTATTTTGCATTTACACACACCCTCACACCTTTGTGTACAATACACACACCTCTCTGTAACTACACCAATGTGATCACTCTGTTCTCCATGTTAGTAAATAGAAGACTGACTCAAAGCCAGATGAGGCCTTTCTTTTGCTATGTGAAAAGGGATGTCCTCAAGGTTTCCCCTTTCTTAATGCTCCCTATCTCATCAAGATCTTGCATCAGGTTTTGTTTAGTTTTAAAGTTGTTTTCTCTGAAAAATGAGTCAGTAGTTCAGACTGCAGTGGTGCTGACAGTCCTCTGTGGTAGAATTCAAAGTGGAATTAAATGAGATGATGGGGTCATGGAACTTCTTTCATGCAGCACCAGTAACTCTTGGAAGAACAACTTTAACTTTCTCAAATATCTGTGCTGCTGCTTTTCCAGCTGTAGTACAGATATGTTGCTACTTTTTAATTCACACTTTTTTTTTAAATGAAGGAAGCTAAGCAGGCTGCTTTGGATATTTTTATGTTTTGGATTTCACTGATTGAAGTGTCGTCATTAATGACACCACATAAAACTGATCCTTATGGTATTGACTATGTCTGGGTTTTGTGGAAGCTGTACTTAAATATTTGGGGGCAGAAGAGAGGCAGAGCTATGTCCTTTAAGGAGGCTGGGTGAGAAAGGTGAAAAATGACATTGAATGAAGGGAGTTGCCTACTAAAAAGTAACTAACTGTAGATAAAATGGTGAAGACCAAGAAAACATCCTGATCAGACTCATGCAAAAATCTCACATAATAAAGTTTACTAAGAGTGACAATAACATACCCTTTTGGAATGAAGAAAAGCACCAGGTGTCCACAATGATTTTGAAGACATGAAATTTCTGTTCTAACCAAAATGTAAACAGAAATTTAGCAGTAGGCACTAATATATGGCATTTGTAGCCCTGAAGAAAGAAAATGCACAGCCAAAAGTTAATTTTTTTGTGTTTTCCAGAGGATTCTGAAAGAAATACTGCCCAGCATAGTCTAGTGCTTCAGTCCTGATAAAGACAGCTGTGGCCATGGCAGTCTATTCTCCATGACATCCAAAGCTGAAATACCACAAGGAAGGAAT